TCTTTGCTATGGTGGTTGTCAGAGTTCCTTTGTCGCGCGTCCTGGTTGTTATGGGCATGGTGTAGCTGTTGGGTCGTAATGTCTTTGCTATTGTGGTAGTCAGAGTCTCGTTGTTACGCGTCCTTGTTGTTATTGGGATAGTGAGGTACTGTCATGTGCGGCTCCATTTTGTTTTGTGTTAAGACAGAGAAAAAGAAATGGTTCTCAGGACCCGATGGCTTCAAATGGTTCGCCCAATATTTCAACGGCTTCCAACAAGTAAGACTYGCTCGCATTGAAAAATATCTAGTTTGTTTACTTACCTCTTTCCTTCTATCMTCAGTTTAAGTATTTCTCGGATCCTATACAACTGATGTTCCTTCGTCTACTAAGCGACCACGCCCAACAAAATGTCACGTATCATTGCCGTAACTCCGCGGCTTGGTACGACSAGGAGACTGGAGACTACAATAAATCCATTAAACTTCAAGGACATAATGGTGTTGAACTGTATGCATCTAGTACCAAGAAATATAAACCCACTGTCTTAAAGGACGACTGCCGTGTGAGTATAAGCCCATAGTCGGTCAWAATCGCCTCAATAAAACGTACGCCGTTCCGCCGTCCTTGTTACGTGTTGCTACGCGTGCTACGTATCCCATTATAACGGCCAAGCGCATAGTCATCTTCAAAAATGTACAAAGCGAGTATTGAATCCATATCTCTTTTGTACAAAAACATTTATTGCCCTGCCACAACGGTTTCTGCAAAGCATAATTCAAGTTTTAACCCTAAATGTGGTGTCCGCTTGTTAAAATTATTAACGTAATTCCGTTACTAACTTTCTAATTAAACGTATCAATCGTCTATATTATTGCTACTGTATGTCTAACGTTACTATTTGTAAAAGTGACACATTCTTACGTAAAAGCTAACGTAAGACTAACGTAGCAAATGACGAAAAGCATTTYCCTTTTTCAGCGCAAACAGCTTACRCAAAATCTTACCCAAMAACTATGTTTGTAGATTAAAGATGGTAGTTGGCGCAAAACAGTGCTAGAAATCGATACAGCTAACACGCATCGCCTTCCTATCATTGACGTAGCAGTCTATGACATTGGAGACGACAACGAAGAATTTGGACTTGAAATTGGACCAGTTTGCTTCTCTTGATARTAATAAAATGCTCAACATGTAAAACTTCGCGTTTTTCGCCCTTATTTTTGTGTCGTTTATCGCCCATACAGGTTAAACTAAACAATTTAGATGTCAGTAGCGGCCTGAAATATTAAAACTCGAGATTCCTGTGTATATAAACTCAAGACCAAGGAACTTTTCAATTTAGTTATTATTGAAATAATATCAAGTTATTAAAAATGGCTTTAACGTTAGAAAGACTGTTTATACTGAACATATTATAGTCAACGTCTTGGACTGGCTATATCTCTTTCGTCATTTATGTTGTGTAAAAGGAGTGAAAGATATGATATTAKTTGTTGTATATTGTGACAATCGTTAATAGGTCTTYTGCATTAAACGGTCACATGTTACTAAATCCGCCACGCTGGATGGCAAAATAATCCAAACAACCTCAAAAACAAAAGGAAAGTACCCCGTCAATTTTAACTTTTCTTTGTTATCCTAGTGGGTATTTTGCCATCCTGYATGATGGATTTAGTTTCATGTGACCATTTCATGCAAGCAGGGCTTATTGTTGGTGCAACTCAACCTACTAAATAATTCAATCGTCTAGTGATTCATTTCTCAATAAGTACAWCAAGGGTTAATAAAGAGTTTATTATTTATGCTTAAAAAATCATTAGTCGCAAGAATTTAAAGGCAATCTTTGCTTATTTTTGTCTTTGACKCTGCTTTAAAAAAATACAAACAGCTTTCAGATATACATGTAAAGCAAGTAGTTCCGGGGTGGAGATAGACGATATCCAAGGTATCTTCTCCCGTACATTAGCGTTAACATTTCATCCACTGTCCAGCTTTTGAATAATAATTGAGTTTGATTAGGCGCCAACCCTAAACCCTTCAGTTAATGTAAAAAACAGCAAAAAATTGATTCTTTTAAAATTTTGTAAAATAAATGATAATAGTTAGAAAACAAAAAACTAACTAATCATGATAATATATTCATGCAAGCAAACGATCTTTTACAAGTCTCGTGCGCCTAATAAAGTACAATTATTGAATGCTGAAAGACATTGAAACCACAAGTGGCTAGTCACGAATGGACTAGGAACCGACTAATCACCTTCCTCGTGGCTGGGCGCAACGGCTACCCATTGGATGGGTGACCGTTTTGCCAGTCGGTTTTTTTTTTGTGTTTTTTTTTCTCGTCATTTTCCTTCATTTTTTTCTTTTCTGACTTTTTCTTCTCGTTATTGTTGCTCAAACTCTTGAAAAACAACGAAATTTTCAGGATTGCTGCAACATAATCTTCTCACTCAAAACCTTTTGTAGTATTTTTAAAGTCGCTTAAAGCGTTTATGCGGGCAACACTGTCTGCAAAATATACTTTCAAAACTCTCAATTTGTCGATGTTAATCTTCATGTACAGCATGAAGAAAAATTTATGTGAAAATGTTATTTGCGAGCGATAAATCCCCCGGGGGGTAATCCCATATATTTGCTCTACGTGCCGCTGGCCAGGGTATGGTACGTTTTTGGCCTTGCTGTCTTAAACAGGGTATACATTTCACCCGAAATTGTCTTAAACAGGCTCTACAATTTAGATAAAAGACCGATATAAATTTTTTTTGTGACTTGGACAGGGTAATATTTGCATAACAAATACCGTAGAAATAGTAGAAACATGTTTCACTGTCCCAGGATTAACGTGTTATCAAAAACGTCTTATTGTGTTTGATGGATGTCAGTTTTGATGGTTGCGGCGTAGATAGCTATTCCTTATTTTTCCGATTTGTCTTGAACAGGGTATGGATTTTCACTTTCTAGTGTCTTAAACAGGGTCAGGGTTTTAGACCACTGGCGGCACGTACCTATCCAAAACGGGGTCGAGTACCCCCGTTTTAAATAGATCGGGATATATATATCCTTGGAGCTGGGATCCCCACGAAATGCTTTCACGAAGCACTGAAAACTAGTCGTTTCCAGGCCCTTGCTTTAGCATCCAATATGGCGGACAAGAAGGACAACAATGTCGACGAAGAAAGGAGCAGATTTCTCCAGTCACTGCGTAAGTAATTAAGTATGTTAAAGATTATTACACAAGCTTAGGTATCGCATATTGYATTAACATTGTTTATATTTGRGTTTTAGYCCTGRTATTGCAGAAAAAGCTTGTGTTTCATGGTCGCTTGTCATTTTGCTTGTCAGATTTCTTTTGTTACTAGCTCACGTGTTTGAGTTTATTTTCGAGCCGAACTGTTTGCGACGATTGCTTTATGCTCAAATGAACTGATTTTGAGATTTTATACAAGAAAATGTTTTTACTTCAGCGTGGAAAGCTATGTAATCCTCAACAGTCGTATATTTAGACCTTACGTAGTGTGGTGGCCTCTTGTTGTATGAAGACAGCTGTTTTCAAATATTATCTTTCTGCAGTGAACAGAGGACCCAACAAAAGGCAAATCAAGCCAGTAGAAAACAGTCCACTATTGCAGTTTGTTTTGGGAGAAGATGAAGACGAGGACGAAGACGAAGACTTTGATTTTGATGAACATGCTGAAGGTTGTGTAAACTGTCTAGATATGTATGGAATATGTCTGTATTACTTCAAGAAACATGGAATCTTTAATAGCATAAAATCTTGTTTTTAAATTGTCTTTAAAGTGGCATTCACAATTTTACTATCTCTTGTTTTGTTTTGTTTTAGTTTTTATTTTCAGTTTGTGTTCATCCTGTTATGAACACAATATTGCCATTAATTATTTTTTACCTATTTRATTGGATGAAGCGTATATCCAGAAAATGATCACAACCGTGCACAGCATCTCAGAATTATTCAATATTTTTTTTTTATATATATAAAGTAATTTCATTTTTTTGCCCTTCAATAGTTTAAATTGAAGTTAACAGTTTTTTGAATGAAATGATTAAAACATATTTTGAAAAAAAAAAGTTGTTTTAACAACAAGTTGATCATCTTTCACATGTAATTCTGGCAGTTTAATGTCAATACATTTTTATACATGTAAACAATTTTTTTTAGTTGGTTCAGGTAGCGATGAGGATGAAGCAGACATTGATGCATCAGCTTACTCCAAAGATGGAATCAAAGAAAATGATGAAGATGATCAAAGTGAAGAGGATGATGACAGTAATGATGAAGATGACGAYGATGAAATCAACAAGGGACCAACACTTTCTGTTGGTGATCTTATAGCAGCAATGAATGCCAAGGTACAGTTTGAACTATTAGACTTTATGTCTTGAGTTTTGGAGTCCATAATTAAATTGTATTTAGAAAGTCATGCAGACATAAAATCATTATGTTATGCTAAGCATAACTCATTTTAGGTTTTAAAATTTTAATGTGTATGTGGTTAAATAATTGTTTGTACTTATAGAATGACAGGGCTCCAGCTCCTTTGAAGCCTACCTCTGACGTCATTATCTGTGGGATCTGTATGGATGACGTAAGGTACAGTAACTACACAAGATTATAAAATGTTGATTACAGTAACATAAACTTGCAAAGCACATTATGATCTTCCATTTTTAACTTTAAAGAAGTATAGAATATCATTCAATCTATTACTGGTTCATAGAATATCTACAAGTTAGAATACAGTAAAGTAAATATTAATTGGGTTATCATATCTAAAGCATGTGTTCTATATTTTAATAGTGATGAAGGTGATGAGATAGTAGAATGTGACAACTGTGGAATTACAGTTCATGAAGGTACAGTGTTTCTATTAATTAAATTAAATTCTATTTAAGTTAGGTTTTGATATCAATCACTGGTGAACGGAGTACTATTTCTTGTARATTACTTGTTTACATATATTATTGGATTTAAATTAGATATGCCAAATTCTAATTGAAAATGATACAGAATCATATGCATGAAAATGAATGTATTTTGTCTCATAATGCAGATCTAGTACTTAATGTAATGTTATTATGACACATGTTTGTCCTATAGGTTGTTATGGMAACATCAATGAGCAAGATAGCGATAGTGGTAAAAGCAATGATACTGATTCTCCTACAGAGCCTTGGTTTTGTGATGCTTGTAAAGCTGGTCTTCAACCTGTAAGTTTATTGTTCTCAAATATTCAATATGCAATCAAGCTACTTAGTCTCCTCTTGGAACCGTTATTTGGGTACAAGCCAATAACAGCTGCGAGAGCAGACTATCAAGCTACTGATATACAGCCTTTGCAGAAACACTCAGCAATGAAGATAGTGCATTCCAGTTCTGAAATCCGTAGTTGCTTTATCTTTGCTAAATGGTTCACTATTTCAGAGTGACTATACCAGCTACAGTACATGTATATGCACTTTTGATGGAAAAATAATGTACTGTAGTTTAGATTTTTTTTCATTTTGCAAGGAATCCAATGGCAACAAGTGCATTTCAGTACTGGTATAGTTTCCATTGTTTGCAGTATTGTGGTGTTCAGTTGTGGAGTTATTTTTTAAAAAGATGTAATAYATTTTTTAGTTTAAATGTAGGCTGTGGAATAAATGCATGATAATTTTTGTTTGTTTAAGTATGTATTGACTTGTTTAAATAAAATGTAATGAATTTTAAAATTTTACTCAGGACTGTGAACTTTGTCCAAATCTTGGAGGGATCTACAAGGAAACAGATTCTGGGCAGTAAGTATTTTATATTGTAGTTTCTTGTGTGGTACAGTATGATATACAGATGTATTGTAATGCATCATAGAGGTGTCTCTTCCACTGTGTATGTTGTATGTCAGTGTCTGTCATGTATCAGTTATTTGTACCYCAACTCCCAGGGAAGGCCTAGGAACTAATACATTATAACCTAATTRTAAGTTCCTTTACATTTTATTGGCTAACTATATTATGTGTTTTTACAGGTGGGTTCATTTGCTATGTGCTTTGTACACTCCTGGTGTTGCATTTGTTAATCCAGAGAGACTACAATGTGTTACTCTGACTGAGTTGCCTCCGTATAAATGGGGAGCTAAGGTTTGTTGAGACTACACACGACTTTCACAATGGCCGGCACTAATTAGCATAATATTGTTAAATTCATAATGTTGACAAAAGAAAACACTCAGATGATAGATATCAAAGCTAACGACAAGCTCTGAAAGTTTCAAAGAAAAATATTAAATCCTCTGGAAGTTATAAAACAAATCCTTGTATTTTCATTCCACCATAACTTTGTTAGTATTTAGTCTATATCTTCAAAATTTTGCACAATTACTTATTTCTGATAGTTCTTCAATATGACAGGTGCTGAATGTTTCATTGCCAATCATATAAAATCGATAGTAGGCACTTGTGAAAGTGGTATATGTTATATTTTTGACTACTTAATAGACTGATTTCAATAAACATGTTTAATTTGATTAATATTATATGATTGTAAAGTATATGGCAGCTAATTAAAATCACTATATCTGTGGYAATGACAAGATATCTTACAGTATGTTTGTCTGTTTGATTAGGAGTGTAGTCTATGTGAAGACGACAGGTWTTGCAGGACTGGTGTTTGTATTGGTTGTGATGCTGGTTTATGTCGGACATACTTCCACGTTACATGGTAAGTACATGTGCTTGGTATTATTATCTATATGATTCTAGTAGCAATGAGTTACAGTCCATGTTGTACTTGTTTCAGTGCACAGATTCAGGGTTTGTTGTCAGATGTGCCAGAGGAATGTGATGAGGTTAGTGATCTCTGTCTTGTACATCTAAGTCATAAACACTGCATACATTAGTTGATGCTAATTCTTATGGAACAGTAGTTGTGATAAAGCTCACTCAATCAGTCATTTTTCCAGTTTGTAACCAATCAATCAATCATTCAATCAACTGATAAGTCAGTCGGTTTATCAATCATTAAATCAACCAACTGCAGTCAACTCCCACCTTACATACACCATGCTATTACGGACCACCTTACAGAGAGGAAATATTGAATTCCCTCACAAAATACAAAGAAATGACTGAAAGTAACTTGACCCATTACTTTGGACACTACAGCACAGTCCTGAGGGTRTCCGCTATAGCAAGAGTTGACTGTACATTGTAATCAATCAATCATATATCAATCATTGTAATTGTATTAAATTATGTTAAAGGATGTTGCTGATCCTCTCTATGCACATTGTAAGCAGCACGCTGATAAAACAATTACTAAAGGAAGAGTAAGTACTCAAAACTAATGATAACATTTATCAATTATTATTTTATACTTATTTACATGTATCATTACATGCAGACTATTAGTATTGACTATTTGACTATTAGTATTATTTGAACAAGGATACTTGTATAAAGTGTACTGTATTGTAGATGCAATAATTGTCAGTAGAGTTTGGATTGAAATTCCTGATGTTCTGATGAACATTACATTTACACATATTCACTCTATGAAAGCTTAATTCCCCAAGTGTTTTATTATTTTAATAATTAAAATTATTAATTTAAATTTAATATGAACTACTACATGTATGTATGTTGATAGCGCCGAGCATGGCTGGCCTATAATGCAAGATTAAAGAAATCTGGCGAAAGAAAGTCACCCGAGGAAAAGGTATTGTTTGCATGAAGCTTTTAATATAATCTCCAATAATTGATATTTTACTGTATTGAGTTATAATTTCGATATTCCATAGGAAAGAATTGAGCTATCTCTGAAAGAAATTCAAAAACGTGTCCAAGAAGAAAAAACTAAATCTCCAAATAAACCACTTTACAGTAAGCATATAATTTTGATTAAATACAATTTATTGATATAYATTTAGTTGTAACTGAAATTTGAATTTTCTCCAGCACCTACTGAAAAGGTTCCACGTCTTCTTTCTTCTTGCCCTGGAGGTATAGTGAGAATTTTAATTAATCTATTCCTGTTAATCCTCTTTAATATTTTTATTCATTTCCATTAAAATGTGCCGTTTATTTTTGAATCTTGAATGTAGCATGTCGACATTTATTCAAGAAAGCAGTTCTGCTTGGGTTTACAACAGATCAAGTAYGTATTGAGGAAAAGGTGTAATTGTGTTAACCAATATAAGTAAATATTGTTATTTGTGCTTTTTGTACTCACAGGACGTGTGAACTCAACTGTATTTTCTTTAAACTTCTTTTTTGGCTCCATTTGGGAGCCTCAGACACCGGGGAGTTGGCTTCCCTCATGTCTGATGGGCTGTGGCTACCCAACTTAGTAAAAGTAAGTAAATAGCTCTAATTTCTATATGATTTATTCTTCAGACAAGAGACGTTGTACATGTTCGTAGAAAGTGGTTGGTTGCTCCAGCAATGACTTGTGAGTTTGTAAACTATTATCACGGTAAGTTCACATTGTATAAGCTCATATTGTATAAGCTTATATCTTTAACCTTTTATCTGATATAAAATGTGTTTATTCGCCCCCAGACCGTGATTCACGTATCAAGGACATGCAAGAACGACAAACTAAACTCAAAACAAACAATAAACAGCTTCAAATTGAAGAACAAGCTTTACGAGAGAAAGTTGACATGGTAGGTATCAGGTTTTTGAATGCTCCATATTTCATTTTTTTGAATAGGAATTCAACTAATTTTCTTATTGAAGAAGTTTCATTGTTTGACCGTTTGTGATAATGATGAGTAAAAAATCAGTTCGCCGATTTGATTTTGTCTCCTTTCAGCTGACTAGCAATCTTCACGGTCTTACAACTATACTGAAACAAAATCGAGAAGAAGGAACGCTGCTACATCAACTGCTATGTCAACTTGCTCAGGAGGTAAGACTAAGAAATAATCTATTTAACCTATGTCGCTTTTTCTCTGGAGTGTTATAGGTTTGTTCATCCCATTGAGCTTGCATAGTGAATATCGAATGTTATGTCGTATTATGTTTATTTTATGGCAATTTCTTTTGCAGGAACTCAAAATACCAGATATTTTCAAATCCAGAAAGGCTAAAAGAAAAATATCAGAGTCTTCTTCAAAACACATCGAAATTCACCCGTAAGTATTCTCTATCGTATATACGATCAACTCTCGCCTTACGGACACCCCGCTACAACGGACACGATATTGCGGACAGTAAAATACTGAATCGCCAGCGAAAATACAAAGAAATGACTGAAATTAACTCTCGTTACTATGGACTCTCGCTACTGCGGACACTAAATTACAGTCCCGAGGGTGTCCGTTATAGCGAGAGTTGACTGTACTACAAAACCTCCACAAAACGACCACCTACATTGACCACACAACGACCATACATGTATCTATACTTATATAGCCACACATGAACTAAATTTAATGCAACATTTACCTCGAAAAAACACCTTATCTTGAGAACTTCCTCGTCTGCACAGCGTAACAGATTCAACGTGACGTCAAGCAAACGACACTTAACATAATGTCACCACAACGGGCGATTCCTCATAACAGCAAAGAAGTAACCTTGGCAGTTTTTTTCAAGGGCTAATTAACGTAAATACATATTATTTGTATGTTTTTCAGGTGTGCGAAGTGCAATGAAACCACCAATCCGCATTTAATGGCAGAGTGCGACACTTGTCATAATTATTACCATCTAGCATGTGTTGACCCACCCCTAACCAGAATGCCTAGGAAGTCAGCTAATTGTTTATGGTAAGAATGCATTGGAAGTAATATAATCCGTGTTGAGTAAATTTAGGACGTATTTTGAGGAATCGATGAGTGAAATCAGTTAAATTGTCATGAAACGTTCTTGCGTGTGTTGTTCTTTTGCTGAGGAAGGATTCAGTGTCGTGTTATGGCTGGCATTTTTATAAGCCTACGTTATGCTTAAAACTTGCTCAATATTTTTCAAGTGAACAGCATGCGAAGACGTGAAATGCGCCGAATTTTTTTACAATCTTTTTGTGCTATTTTGTCAAAACTTCATTTTGTTGGTGTGTACTAAATATTGAAAGTTCTTCAAGTTCTGATAAGTAGATATTCATATTTCAAAAAACAGATATTTTATTAGACACTGTTGTTCGTTTAGGCAATGTTCAGAATGTGATCCAAGCGATAGTGAAGAAGAGATGGAAGTTGATGTTGGTGATAATACCCCGATATCTCAAAGTCGACAACGAAGGACCATCAAGGAACCAACGAAGTTTACCCCAGACAAGGGAGAGGTCAGATATGACAACGTTTTCTAATTCAAATACAAGAATAAACTTACAAAAGATATTGATTTTCCATTTTTAGCCAAAACGTATGAAGGTTTTCAGGAAAAGAAAAGCTTCACAAGACGTCGCTCCGTCGCCTGCAGAAGCAACTGCGCCAAGAAAACCGGTGAGCGTCCTTCTTGTTCAATATTTTTGTTTCAATTTCTCGACAATACACACACTACTGTCATATAAGAATATTTCTTGTTATCAATTCATTAAAATTAAATATTTTTCCAGAAGCTGGAACCCAAACCGAGGCCAAAGCGAGAGAAAAAGGCTCGTAAAGAGAAAGTGCAAGATAAGCGTACTGACTGCATCAAGTGTAAAAAGGAAGGCGATAACACTACTCTCGTGAGGTAAAATGGAATGCATTTAGGGATAAAAAAAAACTTACTTCCGTTATTTTATTCATAAATTTGTAATTTCTTGGAGAGTCTTACTTTATTCTTTCCTTTTCCATTTTTTATGCTATGCTTCAAGCCCTTAGTCTATCCCACTTCTACAAAACTTTGGACTGAGATAGGAATGGGATGAGGATTGAAGGAGGACTAAAGCGGTGGGATAAGATACAATTGGGTTTGACACTCTCATTYCTACCTCTAACCTACGTTTCCGTACTTAGCTTCTCTTCATTCCTTCTATCCCTCTATTTTTCTTCTTTTTCAAATTTTTCTTCAACATCATTTCTCTTTGTTGTTTTATTCAGATGCGACAATTGTAAACTTTGTTATCATTTTGGTTGTTTGGATCCGCCGGTCAAGGTAAGTCAAAACGAACTCCTTTTGTTAATTTAGATCGATTCAAATCAACCTTGGAGTAACTGTTGTTTTACGTTTTAATTCATCAGAGCAACCCTAAGAAACGAGGTTATATGTGGTATTGTACCGAGTGCGACGAGTCGGTAAGTAGCCGTACATGTCGCTTAACTCGATCAGTAAGGTTTGATATTTTGAATAGGAGGATTTGATGTTTTGATATTTTGGATAGGACGACGACGAAGAAGACGAGGCAGCTGAACCAGAGCAGAACAATGACAGCAAAGACACGACGAAAGAAGACGACGAGACAAAAGGCGAAAACAAGGAAACTAGAAACAAGACCACAGTTGAAAWAGATAAAGAAAAACATGAGAAAAGAACAGAAGAAAAGACGAGTCAAACCAAAAAATCCGACGAAAAACTCATTRACGAAAAGTCAAAACCACAAGAAAAGAAAAGCGAAGAGAAAAAAGTTGATGGGAAGAGAATAAAAGATAAAGAGAATGAAGAAAAGAAAGCAATAGAGAAATGAAAAGGGAATACGTGTTTAATAGGAAAGCTGAAAGAACAGGAAAGGAAATTTGAAATTGTGAAAAAATATATCGGAAGATAAAATAAATAAACGAAAAGAATGGCGAAGAAAAAGAAACACTGTAAAGAGTGCTATAAAAAACCCGTGAAACATAAAAGTAACTACATCCATACTCAGTGCAATCTACTTCTACTTTGATAACATTTGAGTTCCGTGAATTTTACAAAGTGAGCATTATTCAATTCTTCATATTTTAGTTTTCAAAAGAAAAATTGTTTCCATTCATTCTTGACTGTTGATTTTATAGGTGGTATTATTTTGCTCATGTACAAATAGATTGTAATAAAGAAATATTCAAAAGAACCATTTGTTACGCTTGTTTTTGYGACGGTTTTTTCGTGGCGTATTTGTATAATTCAAGTCCGAAAATATGGGGACTGGGCACGATTACATAAAAAAATAAAAATTCTCAATATGCTTAATCTACAAAACGTCCGCCATCTCAAGCTAGGGTCAACTAGCCAATATTTGCAATTGTTAAAGGGATATTGTCAATGGATGACATGCGCGAGTGAACTTGAAAACACTAGGCTAGTGTTTTCAAGTTTATGACTCCAAGTTGGCGCGACATAAATCAGATCGTAAACGTAAACAGATCTAGAATATTCCAAAGTGTGTCAAAAGCACCACAAAATGATTTACCTCGAAGGTTATACTTTCAAAGTCCGTTAGAGGTGAGACTGTTACTGCGCATGTCATCCATTGACAGTGTCCCTTTCAATCGAAACATGCAATGTTCAACCATGCGCGCAATAACAGACAACTTGACGGGCTGCGTGTCGGCTGGCACTCATCAACAGGGATTCACGCTTCTCCTCTTGATACAGTTCCGTTCCAAAAATTCTCGAGCATCTAGGGACAAAATCGGTGAAAGATGAAAAAGATGAAGTGAAGAAAATAAAAATAGGAAAAAAAAAACAGCGCGGATACAAACACTCGAAGTAAACACGTAGCCGCAAGGGATGATGGTTAAAGCCTGGTCACCAAGCTATTGCTGGCGCGAGTTTTGAAATGTGTTTTGGTGAGAACATGGTGGTCGTGGTGAGCGTTGTTTCTGTTATTTATACTTTCCTGATCTCCTTGTTTTCTTTCCCTTTGGTGTTGCTTAGTGATGAAGATGAAGAGTAGACGGAGTTTAGACGTCAAAAGTAAAACAACTAGGAGCAGAAAGCTGAACAAAGTGAGATTTTAACTCTCTGAATCGCCTTCTTGGTTTTACGTCATTTTTGAGCAAATCGACGACAAATCGACCATACAATATGTCAGATTTACGATAATTATTAGGCTTATTGTTGTCAGCTTATATCTATATCAGTGTGATGTCTATAATATCTATTCACCCAGTCTTTCTTTTGTTGATATTTCTTTTCTTAGAGGCACACATTGGATCCATCTCAGATCAGTTCAGATAGCCAAAAGGAAAATATAGAGCCTGTTATTAGCTTTAAAATTGAAAATCAAAATCAAAATCCAGCTGTTTCAACAAGACCACAAAGAAGAGCTAAAAAGAAAAGTAACTGTAAGTGTTGACAAGTGGTTTCCTTATAATTCCAGCAACAATCCGTTTTGCAAAACATAGAGATACTAGTAGATACAAATATTGTCTCGAGTGTTCAATTTTATCTCATTAGTGATCATGTATTAAATGTTCTATTTATATATAGATATTGCMGATTTCATTGAACCTAACTAAGCARGAGCTCTAAAACCCTTTTATAAATATCAAAATAGCAAGCTATTACCATGACAATGGCATATTTCTTCGCATTTGAAAGATAAAATATCATCCACTCATGAAAATATCAAGTTTTCAATATTATCTAGTAACAAGGTATTTGAATCAGGGATCAGCATCAGTTTTTGGGCTATTTTGGGATCAGGGATGAAATGGATTGAAACTGGGATCAAACTGGGATCAGGATCAATGATTTTTTTCAATGATTCTGTAAGGGGATCAGGGATCAAAATGTATGGAGTTTTGTATGGAGTCGACATCACATTTTTAGCCTTTTGATCTGGATCAACAGCAAATATACCTCGTTACTAGCCTGATCTATTGCATGATACCTGCCACATGTCTACAACAGATTCAAAACCTTACTGGAAATAAGAGTRTAGGTGAGCATGCTGAATCACCTTTGCTTTAATGAACTTTTGTTTGACATTTCAGATTTTCATTCAGACTGGGAACTCAGTCTTCAAGCAAACAATAGATCACTTGCTGCWGCATTAGGTTGGTAATTCACATCCTTAATCAACTGATTGTTAAAAGAAAATATTATTATAAGTAAAAATTAGGTAAATGTAAATTTTGAATTTGTTGTCTATTCATTTAAATATTTTTTACTTCCACCATTTGGACATCAACATAAAAATTGTGAATAGAAAAGAAYAGAAATGAAACCAAGGAGGTCTTCACAACTCCCCGAGTCAGCCTCAGTCATTTTCCCTAGCCAACCTATGGAAATTGGTACAGGAAAATTTTTTTGTTTTCCCCAGTCATTATGGTTGCTGCAATGGGCTGAACAATAAACGTTACAATATGACATCTGGTATTTTGAAAAATCCAAGTATCATTAGTTTGGTATTCATCACATACATGCAAAAATACAGTTATCAWTTTTTTGCTGTCAAAATTCTAGGGAAACGCTTCAATACATTTTGAAATACATGAAATTAATATAAAGCTTCACGCGCTAAAAACTCCGAAAATCCCAAAGTCCAGTCCACTTCCAGTTAATATTTACAAAGGCTTGAATGCGTACATAATTATATAAAAAACCCTTCTAAACTAAATGCTGTTCAAACCTAACTTTGCTTCAGAAGATAGGAAAAAAGCAAAACTTAAAATCAGAATTCATGTTCTTTTCATTTAGTAAATTCTTCGAGGTTTGATTGTACAAAATATGTAATTTAATTCAATAACACGTCGTTAGCACGTTGTTGACAGCCTATTTTAATATCAATATTCAAAACACCAAGATAATYTCACTATTTGTACCAAAMACTCATCGAATTGATCAATACAGTCAAATTTTAAGKTACAGATTTGCGGTGTCTCTAGGTTTAGAATTGAGATTTACAAAACAAAGAGAAAACATGAAGTTTTAGACCTACAGCTGATACCTGTGCAAACATAAACTCCAAGCACATACAAATAATCTTTCTGAAGAGATTTCTGTTGCTGTTTAGGTTTATAAAAAGCATCACAACATCTCGCCATCTTTGGTGTACGTCTACTTTGCGACAAATGTATGTCTCATGTTACAGTTAGCGTGCGCACCGCTGTACCGTATTCGCAGGCTCGAATTTTTCACTTTTTCATAGATTAAACGTTTTTTAAGGTGGTATACAGCTGAAAAAAAGAAAAATTTGGAACGCTTCACGAATTTGCGTGTCATCCTTGCGCAGGGGCCATGCTAATCTTCTCTGTATCGTTCCAATTTTATTATACGCGCTACCGAAGTAGCACGACCTGTTTGAAAACACGTCCCTTTTATACTTCCATTCAAGCGCCAACCTTTGCTTGTGGTACTCGTTCATTATAAGGGTTTTTTTACGCTTTGATAGCATGACGCAGACTCGATAGAGCCCTTAGGGCCGTTGGKGATCTCTTTTGTGTCACCACAATAGCACATGACACAATGGGTCTCTACACGCTTTGGCGGGTATTGTTTCTCGGCGTCATGTGCCATGACATGGTATGAAATACGCTCTCTCTGATGCTTTGAGCACACATTTTGTCCTAAAAATAGTCCCTTTGCTTTATTTTTACTATTACATTAATGTTTTAGTGGGTCAAAAACGGAGCATATGACTTGCGGGCTTCCTGTGGTTTCAAATTTCCCTTGCGGTACCATGAAAAGAAATCCATCAATGCTTTATGGAAAGTGAAACATCTGTTTCGGCTTCCTGTAATGAACGTATTTCAGACCTATATTTCCCTATATTTGAACAAGTATACTTTTTAGAGAAATGAAATAGCTCTGAACAAGATAAATAAACCGTTTACTTCAGTAGAAAATGAGAAAAAACATTCAAGTATTTGAAAGCCTGAACTGTGTTTAATAAACAGACGAGTGATTATTCAATGTCTAATAGACTACATGCAAACGTTGAAAAAACGTTGATAACCTCTTCACCGWCAGCGATTTTTTTTATAATCGTCATCGTAAAGGTCTTGAAGTAGATGATGATTGAGAGCGCTCACAGCAAGAAATTGTCAGCATGAACTTCAGTTTTGCAACATATATGTGAGGCAAATAACTTACGAAACGATGTCTTTTTTTCTTTTCAATTAATCTTTTTTCAAAATTTATGGTACAGTATGTTTTAAACAAAGTGAGTATCATGAGGGTAACCATGGTAACACGGTCCATTTAGTTCATTACCTCCGACGGCCCAAAATAGTTTTTGAAAACATTGTTACTATCAGATATGTACATCAAGAGTTTTTTAGTGGTGTTTAGTCTTAAATGTTAGCCATTAAGGTGTCGGGAAGAAGAAGAAGAAGAAGGCGGGAAAAGCGGGTGCCTTGCGTGCCGTAAGAAAATTCATGAGATGATGATGTAAAATTAAAACATGTTTTTTCGCTTATCTATAGAAGAGGCTCGAATACAGATCAACGCAAGTAATCAAGAGAATGTTCTTCTTAAAAGACAGTTGCAAGGAGAAAGACAGCACCACATTGAAACGTTGAGAAGGGAGGTGGATATCAAAGTTCAGGTAKGGTATTTAAAAGTTGTTTAAACAAAACTTAGTGTCCACTATTACTATACATGTGTAAATATTAGGTGATATAGTATAGTAGAAGTCTGAGCATGCGCAAATAGTCGCATTTTGTCGTCCCACAAGCCCACGTCGCATTGACTTGGTGCTGGAATCGAGCGCTGCTCCGAGATTTTGCTTTTGAACTCTGAGCACCGGCTTATAGAAAAAATATCAGTTTGCATTAGCTTATCTATATTTTTCCATATAGGAGAAATTCAAAGTCATAGACGAATATCTTCAAAAAACAGTTTGTAAATTGCTGGATTGTACAAACCTCATTACCTCAGCTACAGATATAATATGTCACTCCAAACCAAATGAAACAACAAATGTCTTGACACCGTTATCCAACACRCCTTTYCATTCACTGGACACCACCCCTCCSCCTGACGAACCTGAAACGATGGAAGTCACGAGTGCTGAAATTATTCCCATGGAAACGACATGCGTGGAGATGGGTTGTATTGAYGCAGTCGTTAGTGAGTTGAGTCAAAGAGGTACACTTACAAATGCATRTAGAATATTATGAATATGAATTAGCTGGCTGATCGATCATTTTTTTTTTTAATTTTTAATTACAAAATTGCATTCCAGTTTATTCGACACAAAGTCAAGTGGTCGATGACAGTGAATGTGATCCACACGACCAAGCTAGTGGTCTGTCATCCTGTTGCGAAGATAATACTCTCATGTCATGTGACCCAGTTGCCAGTAATGAAGCAATGACAAAGCGAACACGACGAAGTAGTGCTGGAAATGTTTCRTATGTTATGCCAAGTCTACGAAGGTACCTCTTTTTAAAGTTGCATTTGTAAATGCACTAATGTAAACTAGCCTTTTTTAACTCATTACTTCTTTTTATATTTCACTTATAGCAAATTGCGAAGAGGAGATCCGTTCACCGATACGAGTTTTCGTGAACACTTGGGAAATAAAGATAGTTCAAAGAGTAAGAGAGTTTGAAGTGKTAACAATATTTTTTCATGTGTTTGAGCAGCTCSAATTTCAAAAARTGCAATGCCGGTTAAAATTCMCCTTTTCATGCCAAGACCAGAATTACTTTTAAATTATCAGTATAATTGTATTTATAGTTATGATCATTTAAACTTCTATTCTTATTTATTTAGAAAGAAGAGGCAGAATGTCTACTGGATGCATACAAAAGGTAATACCCAACTTGATTGGGCTGTTTCTTTTCATATCATCATGTMATCTTCTTTGAGGTTCCATCTTTGATCCAACCCTTGCTATAGTTTTATATACTGAAATAGGAGGCCGCGCCGTTCATAATTTTATCTGTTCAATCGCGGGACGGCGTTTTTTGAAGTAGGCGTCTGTTAATGAATCATTTTGGCGGGAAAAATAAGCCTCCACGCTGCATGTTGCACAAGAATGCAGCACCAAAATGCGCAGCAAGTTGAGTTTTTTATTGATTTAAAAAGCCAAGTTTGCTAATGAGTTTTAAAATTATAAAGAAAGTACATTTTAAGCAGCATAAGCTGTATGTGACGTAATTTTATATGTTGACCAAACTATACTGATCTTGCTCGCTTTGCGACCGCGGCGTCTCTTCAAACTGATACGATATCTGAATATTAACTTGTACTTCATTTCTATTTCAGAAACCCCGTTTTGCTTTGTCAAACTTAACAAACATTATCAGAGAGGAAGAAATGTAAAATAAGTGAATGTTGGRCATRCGTCTTTTGTATGGGCGGTCTTTCTCTTCGGGATATTTCCAAAGAAACACAAGATTTTCCACTTCAGAGGACTAACAAACAGATTATCACTATTACTCAGCTCGTAATTTATTTATTTATTGGAATATTTATTAATATACACTAAAAAGTAATTCAAAGATATATTAATATTCAGATTGGGATTATACATAGTTTATGATTATTCAGCTCGAAATTGGCGTGTTTTTTTGCTATACTATTACTGTAATTGTTCCATCATTTGTATCTACTTCATCAGCTTATTGCATTATCGATGATTTATTCAATATAAAGGATTTGAATGAAAATATAGACTAGCTCATTCACTCWATTTCCTGAAACCAAGACCTTGCCAAACAACTTTCCAGAAACTGGGAAACAAATGTTACGGAGTTGTTATTTTCACTCTTTTACCACTAGGTTTTTGTGGGTGCTTCAATATGTTTAGTTTTTTCTTTATCCATTCCTCTTTGCATCGAGACTTTTGTAGTATTCCTCCGATTTCAGGTTTATTACATGGGCTTCCTGTGGAAGACCCTTCAAATTGGCATCGAGGAACGTCTGATGAATAGTGACTCCCTTGTTTCCATAGGAATGTTATATCATTAGAAACACAAAGCATTATAAKTCATCAAAATGTCACCGTTTTAATTAAGACTGAACAAAAGTACTCGTAGGACGTATATTGCGTTCGTTTACAAAAAAAGAAAAAAAAACTTTTGGTGGATTTTAGCTCTCTTTCCTCCGCGACATCAGCTTATATTAACGGAGCGGACAGAAAGGGACTAACTGAAGCTGTGAAGTAAAATATATTTTAATTCATTTCCTGCCGTAGAAATTATCATTACTGCAATGAAATTCATTGGAATCTCAAACCTCAGTAGTCAAAATGCTTTCTTATTGCCTGAAATCGAAACTGGAAGTGAAAGGTATTTCACGACATGACGAGGACCAAGAACAGTGAAACTATCATTTGACACTATGTGGAGGAAGCCCATCTAAAAGCGATCTGTGATCGTTCCTTTTCAAGGATTGTATAGTGAAGGCCAGGTTACTTAGGCTTGGAATTATGTAACAACAACAAATGGCGCAGAAATTGTTCATGTACACCTCRAGGCTTCTAGCACGGCATTACAGCTCAAGATTATGGCCAAAAACGTATAATATTGTCACATTTGGTAATAAAGGAGTTGTAACTAGAGGAATAATGCTAAGTGCTGGTAAACTATGAAGATTATTCAAAGGAAAATGCACGACCATTCAGGCTTTACTGATACTTTTTTATGATCGATTTTCTTTTTCGTATAACAAAGGTTTACTAGCCAAAACCACAGATGAAGAATGGGGAAAAAAACTTACACCTCAACAATACCACGTTTGTAGGCAAAAGGGAACCGAGCCGGTAATGTATCTTCACTACAGTGCTATATCATAATAACAATTTTGTAATGTATTAATGAGGTATTAATGAGGGATTAATGGTAATTGGTAATCAGTTTTATCACTGTCTGCACTGATTGTATACTGATTGGGTTGGACACTGCTAACTACTGTACATGTATATTCAAAAATAACATAACATTGTTTTTTTAATATTTCCCTGCCCAAGGAGAGGTTTGCACATCACCTGTAGCCCGCATAGCAGCTTTAGGGGAGAGGGGATGGGGGAAAACAGAAGGGGAGGGCTACATCACCTGTTAAAATAAGTCAACTTGTCTCACAATACTATAATCTACTGAAAATAAGTTGATAAGTGCTGCCGTCCTTATCTCAAACTGCGAGAAAACTTTTCATACTTTTTTTGCAATTTGAAAAAAGTTTGCATATACTTTTTTTGCAATTTGAAAAAAGTTTGCATATACTTTTTTTGCAATTTGAAAAAAAGTTTGTTGCCCAAACCAACTATCTAAGTACCAACTTGTTTTGGAGCAAGATCTTTAGTGCATTCAAGCTGAAATCTAGTGATAATATTCAACTAACAACAAATTGTTTAGTTCTGAAACAAGCTGTTTTCTAACTTGTTTAGCAGTATTGTTGTCAAACAAGTTTGGYGATTTTTTAAACACCTGTTTCTATGGCCTTTAGATCTCTCATATTCCTATTTGTTTGCTCAAAATAGAGATTCCAATTAGATTGGCTGAATATTGTATTTATTTTCTCTTAGCCTTGGTCTGGTGAATACTTAGACTGCAAAGAAAAAGGTCTTTACCAATGCGTTTGTTGTGGTGCCAATTTATTTAGGTAGGGAAGTTTGTGCAGGTCATCAAAGCCTTACTTTGGCCATCAAAAATGAGTTCCACTAGCATAAGTCAGCTAGGAAACCATACAAAGTCAAGAATTTTCATATTTTAGTTTTCTAAGCCTGAAAGTCAAAAGTATTTTTTTTGCATGCTATTGAACTGAGTAGCATGAGAACAAGTTGAAGATCACATTCATAAAGTTCTAGTACAGTATATAGTCTAAGCTGTCTGGTCACACTAAGCTATCTTCTTTTATCGCAACTGTATATTGATAGTATTTTCAAAGTGGTCATTACATRAAATAAAAGTAAAATATAACTTGTGCTTATTATTGTTTTATATTCAGTCAAACAACCAGTATTTACATGTRCACTAGGAGTTTTTTTAAGCTGTCTATTTTTACCTTTAGCTCATCTACAAAGTTTGATTCAGGTAGTGGCTGGCCTTCATTTTATGACACTGTAAAGGACAAMAAAGGTGTAGCGAATACAAAAGATATTATTGACAAAGGCTATGGGATGGTCAGAGTGGAAGTTCTCTGTAGCAAGGTAGATTTATGTCATTGATTCCTTCTAATGGCAAGCCGGGGTGAGGTTGGATCCCATTTATCAAAGAATGACTAGAATGGGGATGGTCGCTGTAGCTTTTAGGGCTAACAATCAGGGTTCTAGTATCTATTAGGGTGTTTTAAGGGTTTTTGACCTACTAATGTCTAATCTTGTTTCATCAAGGCAGTGGGTGTGGTCCAAGTCTCCCTAATATTTGTCTAGCTTTACTGTCTCTGCTGCAAAATCTGCATCAAAATGACACAACCAGGAAATGTACAATTATTATAAATACCTTTCTTCCCTCAAATAGACATGGCTACAGATATCTATCAGTGTAAGCTTGCATGCTGGTTGTCTCACTTCCAAAAACACAAATTAAATTAGAAGACTATCAGTTTGATTCATCAGGATTTCTTATCACAATAAATAATCAATACAGGTAATTAACAGGTAGCTATTTTCATTGTTTAGTGTGACAGTCATCTTGGTCATGTGTTCAATGATGGTCCACCGCCCACRGGGCTAAGATACTGCATCAATAGCTTGGCTTTGAAATTCAAACCAGAATGATGTTGGTTAGGAATGTTTTGCAATGAAGTCCACTGACACTGTGTATGGACCCTGTATGGTACCTCCTGTATTACAGCTTGAAGTGCTTGGAATAAAGAAGAGTTCAGGGACTGTTGGGTTTTGACTCTATAATGTCAACAACCATTGGACTCCTGATATAAGCTTAAATTAACTAAAGAACTTAAATACAATTGACATAACTTACTTAAGCTTAAGTAAGCTTATAAGTTACAGGAAGTTGTTGTAAAAAGTCTAAAAAGAAATACTTCAGAAAAGATATCTTGCTTGATGCCATGCTTGTAACTACAGTAGCATTCTTTTACACATATTCCTACACCATTAAGTGAAAAGGAGCATTATTTCAAGACCCAAGTTTATATATATTTGCTCCTTCGAGGTTTTGCCCGCACAAGCACTCTCGGTGGTTATGGGATATCTAAAATCAAAAATCGCATAGCATTTTGGGTAGAGGTTTCCACGAGGTCGCTTTTACTTACAGTGCACTTAGTTCAGGTGAGTTTTGTGCAGAATTAGAGTTTAATTTCGGGTGGTTTTACCAATCTAATAATGGTAGTTATAGATATACGAAATCATTTTTATGATCATTTGTGTTTTTCGCATAAAACTGCATCTTTTGTAAGGCACGAAGTCTAACTACATCAAGTTATCAAGCCGGCTTTTTAGTTTTCGTGTGAGTTTCCTTACATTAACTTAAGTTACTCATCATTCACACAAATCAATCGCTACCTTTTTGAATCGTTTAAGTACTCATTTTAAATTAACTTACATGTAGTTTTCTTTTTCTGTAGTTTTATATTTGAATGTAATAAGTCTTAATTATTCTTTTTTGATTTCGTGGCATCCACCCGCACCTCAGATTAAAGCATAGTTTAATAGTATACGGGGTTAGTAAACTGTGAAACTGTGATTCAAGCCGCTTCAGTCTTCCAGTGCTCCATGTCGATGGTTTTGTTGTAGAGCAATTATTAAGCCTATGAYTTTATTTGTGCTAAATTTGTATGAAATTGATTGCTTCAAAACCTAGTGAAGGTCTATGATGCGACACTAAAACTGAGACCTTTGCTAGTGTTGAGTTGTCTCAATATGGTGACGACCGTGTTGTAAATCTGATACAACACTAGTGGTTGTATCAGAWTTACWAGGYCAAYYWCCTRATTAAATGGTCAGCCCTTATTGGAGCAATAGCTTATGCATTATTAATAAGTTTTATGAATAATCTTTATAATCACTGTATGTTGGTTGTCAGTCTGGCGTGACTGTTCACAATGGAGAAGCAAGCGCAAGATACTCAAGATGGTACGACTCCAGAAAAGGATGATAATGCCCCAGAAAGAAGCGAAAGATGGGCTAGAAAAGCAGAATTCATATTTGCTTGTGTAGGCTTTGTAATTGGATATGGCAATATTTGGAGGTTTCCATACATGTGTTTCAAGAATGGAGGAGGTTAGTGTACACACAATGCTACACTGTTTGATGAGGTTTCTCGATTCCAGGGGCCGGGGGTCGATGGATGTTCACTTCRACGTTTGCACTTAGCAATCAAGCGTAAAACTGATACATATAGAACAGTAACCTGATGGAGCCATTTGCAAGCAATATTCAGGTAGTACTGGGTCGTTGCCCCGGGATCGTTGCAATCGAAACGGAACGCTGCGGTACATATTTCGTGCATGGCTTCGTTCGCCCCTTCGTCAGATCCGATGGCAAGATTATTTTCATTTGGCAATTTCTTTTTGGTCACGGTATTTTTGATATCAATAATTTGCAGATATTTTTTTTKGGGAAAAGATCAACATAGTCACTGGATAGTGTTTGTAAAACAAGCATTTAAAATGACATCTGGTCATCTTTGGCATTTGTTCTTTCAAGTGTCATTGTGTGAATATACCTTATCTATGTGAAAACACTTGTTTTCATACTTTTCAGGTGCTTTCCTGTTTCCCTACATTATTTTCTTGATTCTTGCTGGTGTACCATTGTTTCTGTTAGAACAAAGTGTCGGTCAATATACACAAGGAGGTCCTATTAATGCTTGGCGCAAAATGTGCCCTCTTTTCTCAGGTAATCATCAGTCACGGTTCTATGTTAAAGAACATAGCACAAGTTCATCCTCGGGAACCCATGGATAATATTCAAACTGTGTTCCCGAGGATGGCATAAATGAAACAAATCGAACAATATCTTTTCTAGTGTTTAGGTTACAATTAAACGAACACGCTAATTCTAATTAGTAAATGTTTCACGGGTAGGTGAACGCATTTCACTAAATCGTGAAATACTTGGCAATACCGGCACTCCTGTCTCTTCAAAGCAAAAAAGCTGACCGTAAAAAGATCATTTCYTTTGATTTTCAAATTGACTGCGCAGGTGTGACTAATTTATACATTGTCTTTCTTATCGTTGTTTAGGGATTGGATATGCAATGATTGCTGTCTCTTTTCTTGTTTCCATCTACTACAACGTCATTATGACGTGGTCCTTGTACTATTTTTACTAYTCGTTCTACTCTCTACTGCCTTGGGTTGGATGTAGTCACGACTGGAACACTGAAAGCTGCCTTGTTCACAATTCCTCAAACCCCAACGCTACGGGKGTATCGTCGAGCAGAGAATTTTTCACGTAAGGACAAACGGAATTGGATGGTTAATTAGTGTCACTAAACTCTACGTTTTCGCCTTTTCTRCTGCAACATGTATTCGTGACGTCATTTGGTGCTTGGTGAGATGCACCATGGGATTGATTACAAATAAATAAATAAATAAAAAAGGGACGATTTTTCGCCAAATTTTAAAAGGTGCTTTACGCTATCCCCAATAACGGATTACGTTGATTTGGCAACAACATATCTGCCATCCTGTCCCTYATCAATACCATTTTACTCAAGTGGCCGACACACGCATGGCGTAAGAACTGCCAAGTACTTTGACTGATTCCGGCACAATTTCTACAAAGCTTTAATACTACAAGCCAATGTTTGTMAATCTCATAAAACTGTAGATTACTAATATATTTTGTTGATTATATTTTAGGAATCACGTTTTGAAAATCACTCAGGGCATYGAYCAACCAGGCCCAATGAATACACCCGTCACACTRTGTTTGCTGGCGGCCTGGGTCATAGTCTACTTCTGTATTTTCAAAGGTGTAAGGACAACTGGAAAGGTAAAGGAATCATTTGTGATTATTCATAATGATTTTTGTTTATTATATTCACATAATATCCCCGTTTTTATGTTTATATTTTATTCTCGTCATCATTGTTTGTCTTGGCAAGATATTTGGATTTTGCTGGCGAAAAAAAATATTTTCCATAGTGATGACCGTGACCGTTTAACAATTTTTTGTACACCTATAGGTCGTCTACGTTACAGCCACTGCGCCATTCATCGTACTTATCATATTCTTTTTTCGTGGCGTAACTCTACCTGGAGCCAAGGATGGGATCGTCTTTTATTTGATACCTTCGTTCACCAGACTTGGTGATCCAAAGGTGGGCTATGTCAAGAGAAAATGAGGTAAGAGAAGGAATCCCTGTTACCCATCATATCAGCCCTTCGTTCTATTTTTAGAAAAAGAGCTATTTTTAGTTTGTTACCAAGCCCTCGCGACCACTACTCGTTTATCGGCTATTTTTCATCTCCAAAAACTGAATGTCAAATACTGTTCGAGAAAAGCTAAGAAATTTGCTTTTAAAAAGGAAACTTCTCGATGAAGAAAAGGAATCTTCTTCAAAACAAAGAAAACTTGAAAGTGTCGAAGAAGAATCAGCTTCTGAAGGTAATGTGACATGAAATTAGATCGACAATCTGACCTCTCGAAGACACATCACTCGACGAAAGCACATCACTTTCACATGATTCATTGGTGTCTTCAACTTCAGACGTATCAGTATCTTCGTGACCCTGCCCGACACTTTCACAATTTATAAACCAAAACCACTGCTTTCTCCTTCTTCCTCTGCATTTACCGCTTAATATCAAATCGTTTTCGTTCACAAAAGTAATCTCACTCTCGACCTCTATTTTGAATTATTTTCTCGCGCCTTACCAAAAACGGCTGAGCGACCTCGCTTCATACGATCTGACCAATCATRTTCCATTTCTAAAAATAGCTCTTTTTCTAAAAATAGAACGAAGGGCTGATATGATGGGTTAAGAACGCAGTACCAGGGATTCCTTCTCYTACCTCATTTTCTCTTGGCTATGTACATGTATAAGAGTTCAAATCTGAATACATTAACACTCCCTCTTGATGAATGTGTCAACAATTTGTACTTCATCAGATTGAAATAGAATTTCCATACTACAATGTAGACAAGATTGAAACGTTAAAGAAAATATTAGCCTGCGTACTGAGTGGCGGGAATTGAGGAGGGCCGAACGGAGAATGACCTCTCGGCCATCCCTAATTTCCTAAAGGCCGTTACGCAGGCTCGAAAAAAAGGAAAATCCATGATTTCATTACAAATCTTTAAGGTGATGCCTGCTTACTTATAAACATATGGATTGATGCCTAGCGTACTTCAATAGGTATGGATTGATGCCTCTACACAAATTCTTTATTCGCTGGCGCTAGGGCTTGGTGTTCATTTGACATTTGCCAGTTACAATAGCAGGAAGAACAACATTTTAAGGTGAGAACAAAAAATAAAGAAAACATGTAGAGCTCTGCAAAAAGACATGTCCGAAAACCAACAAATTCACTCACTGTMGCGCTTAGGACTATATAATAGACACTTGTAACAGTAACTATAGTTAAATTCGACAACCTCGATCCCAGGGCTTTTTTGGCTAGACGATAAMAGGCCCTGGCATCGGTCCATCCAATATTGGTTTATATAGGCCTGTTCCTATATCATTCTTCAGCGATATTCCCAAAAAAGTAATGCCAGGGCTTTCTTTGCTCGCCATTTTGAAGAAAAAGCTGAGCAGGGAARCACTGACAYTGCTATCAGSCTGAATTGCTCATTTCAAAATGTCTCGAAAACGCATCAGATAGGACATAYTAAATTTCCTGCGTCCCTGATTGACAGTACTTGATCGATTTTTCTGATGTTTCAGGGATGCAATGATCATCTCTATTACAAACTGCTGTACAAGTATATTCGCTGGTCTTGTGATATTCTCAGTTATTGGGTTTATGGCTCACGAGYTGAATAAAAGTGTCGAAGAAGTCGCTTCACAAGGTATCATGATAAAAAAAAATCATGTCAATGAATTGTTGCCATTTGTGCGTGATCCCTGTGCTTTGGGAATCCGTTACCGAATATATGCCATTTATGGAAACAAGATGGCAGATTGTTCAAAAGTCTTTTCGCTATAATATCTGTAAGGTTCAATCGATTTTGCGCTTTTAACAGTTGAGAATATCGTCCAAAAACGAGTCCACATGTAACATACGGGTGCTAGTTCTGCGAATGACAACTTTTTAAAGCCAATTCTTTTCGATTCTAAGTGATATAATTGGAGTCCTGTTCTTTTATAGGGCCTGGTTTGGCGTTTATTGTTTACCCAGCAGCCATTGCACAGATGCCGCTGCCGCAACTCTGGGCTGTGTTGTTTTTCTTCATGCTTATTATGCTCGGCTTGGATAGTCAGGTTCGCAATCAATCAATGCAATCAATCAACAATCACTCCATGATTCCATCAATTAGTGCATGATTTCATCAATCAATCTATGATTCTATCAATGAATGAATGAATAAATGAATCAATCAATCAATACATGATTCCCTCAATCAATTAATTAATCAATTGATTAATTAATTAATCAATCAATCAATCAATCCATGATTTCTGATCAACCAATCAATTAATCAATACATGATTCCATCAATCAATCAATCAATACACACATACATGATTCAATCAATCAATCAATGAAAAAAGCAAGCAAACAAAATATTCTCAAAAAATCAAGTCTCTAATTCAGCTGTGGTGATTTTTGTTTTGTTTTGCTTTTGTTTTTACATACATGATTCAATCAATCAATCAATCAATCAATCAATGAAAAAAACAAAAAACAAAAAAACAAAAAACAAAAACAAAACAAAATATTCTCACAAAAATCAAATCTCTAATTCAGCTGTGGTGATTTTTGTTTTGTTTTGCTTTTTTTTCATTTCAGTTTGGTCAGGTAGAAATCGTAGCTTCTGTAATTATAGAGCATTTCCCGGACAAGCTGAGTCGTTTTCGAGAACTGGTCGTCTTAGCTGTTTGTGTTGTCTTGTTCCTTCTGGGTCTTTCATGTGTCACACACGTAGGTATCATCAGTGGATCATTATTTTTTATTTCCGAGTGCGTTGATCTTCTAATGTTTTTTTCCTTCTTCAAGGGTGGCATTTATGTGTTCAACCTCTTCGACTCGATGTCCGCCGGGCTCTCGTTACTTTTCATTGTGATGGCAGAGATAATAGCTGTGGCCTGGATCTTTGGTATGTTATTTGAACGTACCGATGTCATGCTTGCTCCGCTTTATGATGTTGGAAATACTTATTGGAAATGGCAAATACTCATGAAAAGTTGTTCAAAAATGGTGCAATTTACGCGTAATGTACGATGGTAAAAATCAAAACTAAGAAAGAAAGAAAATTAAAAAAGCGAGATAAGTAGAGAAACAACTTCCTATCAATATATCATCCATACAGTCATTCTCTCTTTGGTACATGGGTAACAAAGACTTTGCATGGCCACAAAACGCATTGACAACAAAAAAATATTGTTTTGCAGGTGCGGAAAGGTTCGCTGGTGAAATTTCTACGATGACATGCCGACCAGTTTGGCGTTGGTGGGTGTGGTGTTGGAAGTATATTTCTCCTGTAYTAGTAATGGTAAGGTTTTGCTCTTATTAAAAACTGCCGTAAACATAATAAAGACTGTGGCCTAAGAAATTATACGAAAAAAACAAACAACAACAACAACAACAAAAACAAAAAAACACGAGCATATGAGCTTGAAGAAACAATGACTGCTAGAGTTACCGCGAAGCAAACCCTTTTCTTTCTTTTCAGGGAATTTTTCTCTTTAGCCTCGTTAAGTACAAKARAGTAAAATACGAAGAATATGTGTATCCTGCCTGGGCGGAAGCCATTGGGTGGATGATTGCACTGGCATCKATGCTGTGGATCCCTGGTGTGGCGCTAGCTAAAATTATCAAATTATACTTCACAAATGGTCAACTAACTAGAAGGGTTAGTGGAAGGGGTTGATGCTTTCGCTGTTTAGTTCATGGGACCAGTCAGTATATTTGAGAACGGAGAAACGGGTGTGAG